TTGGGGGATCCGCGGCACCCTAGTGTGCCGCGGCACCCAGTTTGCGAACCACTGCTATAGATAATACGAAAATATTTGTAATACTGTTTTCGTCCGTATGTCTAATCCATTCTTATTTTTAACCTTGAACCTGCAGATTTTTGGAGAACAATTCAAAATTGAACAAGAAAATTTCTGAAATTTAGAACCTGACAGATTGCTAATCAAAATTTGTCTATCCATCCCTACTAAAGTTCTGATGACGTCACTCAAAATTTTGCTAAATAAATCCTATTTAAAATATACACTCACACTTCGCAGGCGTTTCAATCAACAATAATTCATTTAAGAAACTGGACGTATTTGACTGTGTTTTAGAGAAGAAAGTAATTATATTTCACTAATTGTAGATCAGTTTTTAACAATAACTATATTTGTTGTAGATTGAACATAATTTTTTCAACCTCCAGAAAAAAAATTACGCAGGTAAACAAAATGTTTTCTCTACTATAAATTTTATTTTTTACCACTTACTAACAATTAATTACAGCTACACTTCTGTGGAAGCTAGCAGCGTGATTTTATTTTAATATAATACATGTTGCATTTTGTACGTCAAAGCGCATACTAGTTTGTCAAGCAAAAACATCACAGTAAAGAATTTACGTTATGTCGAACGTAACAAATACTTCGAGTTAAAAGTTTTTGTTTGAAGGACGAGCAAACGCTTTTTTTCTCGAAGCACTCGTTTCATTATGTATGATAAAAGAATTTCAGACAGAAAATTTTCAATAACGGGAAAGTTCCGATTGTAATTCAATAATTACAAAACAACCCGAGGTATTGAGCACTAATTGCCCATCATTCTCTGCTGTAATCTTTTTTCTTTGAAATGTATGGAGGTCATATATTAGCCGTAAAAATATTTTTCAGTGAAGTAATAACGTATAAAATCTTTATCTAATTGAATGGTAACAACCAAATGTGGACTATAGCTAGTAGAGAACTTTACTCATTTAGTTTCTCAGGATTATGAAATTTTCCAGAATTACACAATTCCGTACACGCGCGATTTGACGTGTGTAAAACGAACATTGTCCCCGTAACTACATATAAAAAAAATCAAGATTAATTTTAGGTCATTAGGTTTAATAGTAAAATACGTTATTGCGCTCACAAATATATTTTTATTTGATATGTCAATACTATCAAGCCTTCTTCAGGGCTCAAGATTTTTTATATTATCATACTTTCTTACACACCTATAAAAACTAAACACAGCACTCAAAACAAATGAAATTTAAAACTTTTAAAAATCCCGACACTGTAATGAAGGTCCCCTTGACCTTTAAAATAATCCATGTTTGTGAAAGCACGTTCCATTTAAAAGCTAAACAATGTTTAAAACGTAACTCCCTAAATCAACTTAAAAAATTTCCGACTATTAACCTTATCATTGAAATGTGATGGCAACAGCTTATTGATACGTAACATTTTCCTATTGCGAAGTATTTTAATTCGACTGTACTAAGTGTTCTGCTCGCAAAAGCAACCAGTTTATCATCTCCATTACAAAATGCGCTCCTAATTCAATGGAAGAAGCGTCAATTTTTAAAATAACAGTGTTATTTTTTGCAAAATTTGGATACTGTAAAATTAAAGAGTTTTGACATTCCACGTTTCAATTAAATGGCACATTTTCCATGGATAATCTATTTATTGGCGCTGCAAAATTTTATTTTTGTAATTTTTTTTCGTTCCCTATTTTTTCTCATAACAATACGATAATGCTTCAAATATTTTTCATTCCGTAATTTCTTGTACAGAAATATGGACTTTGCGGTTAAACTCCACCCTCCGGTCTCACGACGAATAAAAAAATTCATCACAATTGAGATGGGGCGGGTGGGTGGGGCTTCTCCACCGCAAGAATAAAATACTTAAAATATTAAATGGTGAATTCGAGGTTAGAATTATGTTTTAAGTATTATGTTGCTTAAAGTAAACTCTATACATTAAGAAAAATAAGCCAATGAGTAATGAACATTAACAGGTATAGAAGCACATTACTTTGCAGATTTGAAATAGAATTTACTTGGCAAAATTTCGAGATGACGTCATTAAATGTTTAACTGGGATGACTACACCATTTAGAAGCCATTCTTAACATAATTCGAGAACAATATACTTCACCTTAACTGTTGTCAAAGTACTACATGCTTCAGTAAACAAATTTGATAAGAATAAAAAATAACCCCCAAAAAGTTACGTGAGATAAAGCATAAACTTTAGTCGGAAGTACAAAAATAAATAATGAAAGTATGTGGCAGATTTGGTATAAATTTTTCGTGCTTCCAATTAGTTATTAAAAAATATATTGTAAGTAAATCTGCTTTAAACACAATTTATTAGGTGTTGAGATGTAGTATCGTTTCAAAGACAAAAGTAATTCTGTGTAAATGCCTTACAGTTTTTTCGTGATATTTCAAGTATTAGAACGTTGGTACATATATTCAAAAATAATAAATACTTTGAAAAGCAGAAGAAATGGAATTTTTTTCAAGATGGAACTCTACTATTCTTATCACTCCTCTGATGTTCTAGATTTGGAGATTTCTTAAAATTTTTCCTAAATATTTGCGGAATATTTTGTTTCAACAAAATGTCTTCTAGTAATCTAATCTAATCTCGAATTTAGAAAAGTATCTAGAGGAAAGCTACTTTTTCTATCCTGCATACTAAAAATCGATAAACCGAACTCAATGGACGTAATAATAAATTGTAAAAATAGTGTGACTAAATTCTGAGATTATAAAACCACTTCAAATTTTTCACATTTGTTGAAAGCGTTTTTTTTACCAAATAGAATTGAATTTTCCCTTTACTTATTTTGTAATTTAAATTTCCTGTTGTTATTTTGTCAAAATTATGACACAATCACAGGTCAAATTATCAAACATTATGTACTTTTTCCTGTTCACGGTATGTTGTCTAAAATACTTCGGTTGTTAACCCTTTTTTTTTTTTGTTTTTCAGTACCTTTATTCATTGCACAATAGTCAAATCAAGCCTTTTTAATTACGACTTAAGTAATGAAGATTGTTGTGTATGTAGGCATAAATAAGCAATAAGAACTTATCGAAATTCTTGAACAACTTATTATTAAGTCTTCTATAAATAAAACACTTGATTTGACAAGACAATCAAAGCAATTAAATACTTAGTTACAATGAAGTAGGTTTTAATATTCAAACTATTTCTACGAACGTTTTTATTTACAAATAAACTGATAACGTGCGATAAAAAAATTCCCTAATTACGGCTGATTTTTAGCTGCGTTTGTCATCGCAGATTGTAGAAGATAACAACAGAAATTAAAGCAAATCTCTCGAAATTCTTGATATTATAAAATTAGTCAAATACAAATTAGATTTTCTGGCATAAAAAAATGTACACAAGTACGACATCAACTTCTTATCTCATTAGACGCGTCTATTCGTTTTCAAAGAACATTTGCACTGGAGACCAAATATAAATAAGTGTGTTTTCGTTACATTATGCGTTCCAATCATAGGCAGTCGTGGAATATGGGTAACTAAAGAATGATACGTTAATGAATTCAGAAAAACAAGTTCTACGAGAACCGTAAACAATACATAGTGTCATAAAAAAAATTTAATGTAAATTTAGCTTCTTACACTGTTACTGGTATTACTTATCTGTATTTGTTTTAAAGTATAGAGGTTATCACAACAAACAGTTTGCAAAATATTTTTTTTTAATTCTTCGAAGAAGCGGGATTTGTTGATTGTTAAGGGCTAAGGGAAGAGATTTAAATCCATTTACATTATTCATAAGCAAACGATAAACGACTACTTCAAATCGTGCAAAAAGCCTCAAGAGGTTTTAATTTTTTTAAAAGTTTCTAACAAAGATAACGACTCAAAATTAGTGTCATTTCAAATTTTTTGTTGCAGTTTACTTTGAAATAAAATAGAAATATAAAAATTTAATCACCCTGCACGACAGACAAAGTTTGTTCGAAAATTGATTCGTAGGTGAATGAATTTTCAATTTCAAATGCATCTTCATTAAATATAGGTGAGGTTGGATGCAAATTTTGTGTTTTCAGTGTAAAATTTTATGAGCCTATTCCAGTCTACTATTAGTAGGGTCTTCCGTTGTTGTTCAACTGTGCCGTGATTTCCAATTGCAATGTTGTTTGATTTCAATCAAACTAACTCCAGTATTTGCGAGGACAGTGGAAGGATCTGTTTAAACAGCTTGTTGATTATTTGACAAGTTACGAAAATCCATAATTTTTTTCCTTTTACCTATTACTTGCCTTCAAATCGTCCGTTCTTTGCTTAAAAAAATCCTTTTAACTTCATTATTTGAGAGGAAGTGATCATATTTCTCTTCCCGAGCGAATAATTTTTTATTTGCTCTTATACGGAACTGTTAATTTGTTCTTGTATTGATATTTTTTTTAAACTAAATATTTCAGTTTAGAAAATAGAAAATAAATATTTTATACACATTTTACACAAACACGTGTTGGTCGAGATTACGATTTCAGCACAGGCAAGTAAGCTGAAAACCTTGGATAATTAAATTTTAACTCACTAGCGAGGGAAAATCTGATTTATCTTTTTGTTTTCAGTAACAACGCAGTTTTCACACCGTCAGATAAAAGGATACTCTACGTTTGTTGAATGAAAAATATTAAAAAGCTCACACATCTTCGTGTCGCAAATTTTAATAAAATCTGAGTTGAGAAAACATAGCAATTTCGTTTCACAAAAGGAGTTTAACTAATGTCGGCTATATGAATAGAAGCCTTTAATATATCTTGTCATATTCATCTAAAAATGACTTGAAAGATTAAGCACTGTGCCGGTATGCCCATATATAATGATAATACGGCCCTGCATCCAGCAGAAGCCGAGTGAATTCGGAGCACCGTCGTGACGTCACTGCGACGTCGTTATCGATCTCTTAACCGCGTGTTACAACAGAAAGCCCCGAAAAGCTCTCGTACACGGTTCGCGGTCGTGTCAGTGCCAAAATTCCACAAAAGTCGTCTTCTGCGACAGACGAGTGCCAAACCGGACGATGGCCAAGACTGCTCCGACAGAAGGCGTATGTGTCTCGTCATAAAAATCGCCTCGGAAGCTCCTCGACGGCTTGCAGACTGCCTCGCTATTTCAGTGCGGTAAGTGACATTCATAATTTGCGATACGGTAAAAGCGAGCTTCCCTCGGGACCGCAGATTTGGAAAAATGCAGAGCTCTTCGGGAGCCCGGAGATTCCGGCACTTTGTTATTTACATCCGCAATGCGAAATTGTAAACTTTATACCGATGAGTGGCTATAAAACTGTATCCCAAATGTCACAGTGTTATCCTCTGGATGAGGGTAAATTGTATATTGTGTCGCGATTTATGAGTTGTGAGAAAAACATGAGTGTAATAGGACGCTTACACCATCAATCAAAATCGGCACTTGTGCGGGGCTGCCCAATTAAATATGTAAAACATGCGAATTTAACCCTACAGGTTGTCCCAAAATAACCCTCTAGCTAGGGATTCTTGATTGTTGGACCTACCTTTTGATGCTAAAATTAGAAACACGCACACCGCTGCTTTATTATTTTCAAGCACGGAGGAGATTCATAATTCAGAATAATCCATCATGCGGGGTAAATCCAACCGAGTTAAATTGCTTTTTTAAAGGCTGCCAACTTTTAAATCTCTTCAGATAGTACACTTTAGAGGTTCCATAGATCGACTCTTTCAATTAAACTCTAGTTAAGGACACTGTTACTTGTGTTACAAAGACAATTACACTAATTCCTCAGACAGGCTCACCCGCCGCGTCCGGGATAGATGAACCATGCGTCAGGTGCTTGTTGTTGTTCAAATTTCTCTTACCCTCTTTATTAATTATTCAAATGAACTAAAATGACAAAACAACTAATTTTTCTCAAAAATGAAAGAAACATCATTTGGATTATTAGCGCTTTTGTGCTAATTTTTCATCCGACGGAACATAGAAACTCTTCACTGATCAAATAATATGTTTCCAAAAAATAAAGGAAAAATACAAAATTGCTGCAGCTCTACTTCTGTAGATACGGGGGCTGCAAAATTATTTTTTTTATGGCTTTATTCTTCGTTATTTGAATATATTGTGTGGGCGTTCAAGGAGTAGGTTGGCTGGGTATTAGAAATCAAAGACAATTTCCGTACCAATTTACATACAACTTTTTCAGTTTAAAAATGGCAAATTAAAAGCAAAATTATGACACAATAGTTCTAACCTAACTACTTGCTCTTACCTAAGATGGTTTAGTTAAATAATTTTTAACTATAATCAGTTTTTAGAATCTTTAATGAGGAAGTAACCCACTGATGGTTGTCATAGTTAAAACATTCTTTCTTCATAATTAACAAAATCAGTTGCTGTACTATCAGCACTATAAATGTTATAGTAGGTAGAGGTTAATAGCTTTGTTTCTATTAAAAATGCTAAGGATCAGATTTAAGTTAAAGAGAATTATCTTCTCTTCTAATGTAGACCATCTTGGATCTATATATAAGATATAATTGATCGAACTTGGTACGATGGCTCTTATTTCTATTCGCTCTATGATCACTTGTATCTCGCGCATATAAAAATCCAATGTTAAAAAAATTGGTCGAAGGTTATTTCCCTCGCCCTTGAAGTATAATCCAACAAACCCCACCAAGAATTTTCCCTTGCAAGTACGGATAATTAAAATATATTTAAAGCAGGTAAAATTCTCTTTCAGCAACAAGCTTAACTTCAAGTGTTTATGTTTATACATCGAAAGAATGTCTGGTAGAAATTAGCACACTGATACCTTAATGCCACGAACGGTTATATCACCAGTTAGTCGTTAGCAAAATTTTGGTTAGTGTTTTAGCATCTACATGACATTATTAACATACATACAAAATTTGACAACAATCGGTCTAGTAGTTCGAAGATCACGTGTCTAATAAAAATCGACACAGACACTAGACAGACAGACAGATAGAAACGGGAAATCACTTTTTTCGTACTTTCGGGGTTATGAAACATCGAGGAAACATGAAGCTGGCAAGTCGCCCGATAGACTGGATTAGTATAATTTCTTACCTTATGCTCAGGAACTAAAAAGTAAGCATTTTCACGCAAAATTTTTTATTTATGTAAAAATTGTATGTGGTTTTAAATATTTTTTACATGCATATTGGTATATCCTAGAAAAACTAGCTAAATTAAAGTCTCTTTATTGTATGTCGTGTATCTGTTATCTAATCAATCATCCCTGCTAAAAACTGGATGACCTAATTTCAAATATTAGCTATTTGAAATATACAAATAATTATAATATAATTAATAATAAGAAATGGTTTATTTAATATTTTCAAAATTCTTTGAATAAATTTTCATAATTTATAATACTTGACAGTTTTTCAGAGGAGTGAGAAATTTTGTCTAAATAACTTTGGGTCAATTTTTTTAAGGAGTTAAGGAAGTATTGTAAGAGGGCCAGTGGGCGTTTCGCAAAACCTAAGTACGAAAAAATAGGTCTTCCATTTCCATCTCTCTGTCGTGTGGTGTCGATTTTTATTAAAGAGATAATTGTCGAATCTACCCGACTGATTAATTATGTTATAAATATCGTGCAGATGGTAAAACGCACAGTTTTTTTTAATAAACGCCATTTAAATTTTATAAAACGGCATACTCCGATGCTTGTGGTTTATGAATCCGCTTTGTTTTTTCGCCCTAGCAATGTAGATTTTCGCAAAAAAAGTCAAATTGCACCATAACATTTTATACCGGCATAAAAGCACTGACGTGTGGTCGTGGCATAAAAATCTTAAATTTTCCCGTCTTAATAATTTAATTATAATAAAATAAGAATGATAATATTAACATCTGATAATGCAAAATAGTATTTAGAACTTTTTGCTCCACTGTAGCTTAAGTAATATTTGTAGTCACCTCCTCTGTTTTGAAGAGACAAAATCCTTCAAATCGGGCCGCTTGTTACGTGCTTAATCGTCGCATTCTTTGATTGTATAAACATAAACAATCGAAGTTAAGCCTGACAAGGGAAATAACTTTCGACCAATTTTTTTGATAACGTAATGAGCTTTGTGGTGGGAAGGAACAAATAAATTTTAGCTGATTTCCGCTGAAATTCTCAAGAAGTATGTTACGTAATGTATGAGATGATTTTTAATAAAATCGTTTTACTTCCCGAGCTAAGGAAGTATTGTAGTCGAATCCGTTGAGCGACTCGCGAATTTCATGATTTCTCGACGTTTCATGACTCCAAAAGTACGAAAAAACAGGTTTTCCGTTTCCGTCCGTTCGTCTGTCTGTCTGTCATCTGTCCGCATTTTTATTAGACAGAGAATCTCCGAAACTACTGGATCGATTCGTCTCAAATTTTGTATGTATATTAGGAATATCACGTAGACGGTAAAACACCAACCAAAATTTGTCTAATCAAGTCACCAAAAACGTGATGACATCCCCTCAAAATTTTATATAAACATAACTTAAATTTCATCAATTGTTATTGTTCAAACCTTCATTTAGCCACTAAATACATTCACTTAAACAAGATGCACATTGTTTCATGACTTTTACCAGACTTATAATAAACACTTTTTCTTAGTTCAATTTTCGAAATGGTAGACCCTAAGGAATGAAAAAAAGTCAGTGTTCTGTGGTGGCAAACGCAATAAGATGGGCTAGGATATGCTGTAAAAGTGGTACTTTAAATTTCAATAACTGTGCCCGAGAGAGCGTGTTTGTTGAAAAAGTTATGAAAAGGAAAAATCTGAAGCATCGGCATGGAACAAATAGCAGTAGACTAAATAAGACACCTACAGAAGTTATTAAAGTTATTACACTTACTGAGCAGAATACTGAATTCAGGAATATCATAATTTCAGTTATTTCGTATTTCAATGAGCACAACCGTCTTCACTTTATATAAACACGAATAAATTGCTTTAAATTATTTAAACAGTTATATATTTGATTAATTTAGTATTTGAAAACGTTTTTCGGAAGAGTTCTTTAATTAAGTATATGAATGAAGTGGACCAATTTTGTCTTACCTTCTAGATGTAACGGACTAAGGTTATCTATTCAATATATTTCTAACAGACACCAAGAAAGTAAGTGGGAAGTAAAACACTCTTTTTTCGTTATATATACAAAATATACGAAACCAATAAAATTCTCCACCTTGATTTGTTGGATTTCACGACGCGAATTTGAGTTTTTCCAACAAGTAATTCAAAAGAGGAAAATTCAAAGAAAGCAAAACGGCAAATGTTTTAAAAATAGTTTCCAGAAGCAATTTTTGCCAAAAGTGTTAGTTGAAACAACCAAAATGCACATGACAAGTTACACATACCGGAATTTGGAAAGGCGTAAAACAAATCCCAGAAGTAACATTGATCGATTTATCATCGTTCTCGTGTGCGTCTAGATAATGCTTTCAGTAACAACAGGATTAGACCTAATAATTACAGTGCCTACAAATTAAAGTTAATCCATTGTAATCATCTCGGTGGTCGTTGGTTTACACAAGATTGTGTTAATAAACTTGTAATGAATAAAAATCGCAACTATTTTAGTTTATTTGTTATAAATAATGCAGTTTCTTTTATCTTTGCAACCAAATTTATATTTATTAAGTAAGTATTAAAATTGTAGACGTTGAAAATTTGGAAAATTAATACTGGTGTTAAATTCAACAGAATATGTACAAAAAAAATTAGGACACAACGCCCCTGCAAATGTCTGCAGCATCCATTACTTATTTATTTTTAATACATTTGTGCAGCTATAAATTTCGGGCATTAGTGAAGAGTGTAACAATTAATCCCCTTCTTTAATTATTCAGAGATTGTAAAAACCTTTTCTCGTTTTTTCCGACGCACGGAAATAATTTATCAGACATAGCGTGAAACATTCATAGGGTAAAACAGTACCAATTCGGTTTATATTTTGTGCCGTAATTCAAGAATTTTATTTATACATTACTTTCCTTAATAAAATATGCAATATCTCTGATTTCTTACTCGATTATTAAATAAAAATTCATCCAGATCCAGCAATGTGTCCCTATTTATTGATAATATTGCGGTATTTACTCTGGATGTACGCATTATTTTTA